TCTTTTCCAGTAATACTTGCTTTGGAAAAAAAGACAACTCTGAAATAGTTACAGTTAAACTTCCAATCAAAACACAATAACAATAATAGTAACACAGAAAATATATTAGCAAGGAAAGATGCATTAGTGAACCCCACAGTATTGCTTACCTGTCTTCCCTCTTCTATGTTTTTACAAGATTTTCAGTAGCTTAAGTCATGAAGGTTACAAAGCAGTTGATACATTTTTTGGTGTTAAAAAAAAATGTATTTGCAATACTATTGTCCAGTGAGTCTCAGACAATGAGATTATCTTCCTCTAAGATCTACAAATAGGATCCATTTACAAATTCACACTCTTCATGAGCACAAACAATAACATGGTCAAGATAGAAGTCTTACAACAAATGTGAAGCAGAAAAGGGTTTCTAAAAATCAATACCCAAAATTTGAAAAGGCTTTTTAATTACTTTTTAATAGAATTGTCATATTCACTTGGAATAAACCTAGTACCCGAATACTAGTTACTAAGCTCAGGTTGTAAAACCTCTTGTGATCTTAAATATTATACTTGCCTCCACAATATTAAAACAGACTTTCTTTTTAAAAAAAGAATGGTGAGAGGTCAACGCCTAGGATCCTCTCCTCACGGAGAGAAAACTCAAAGACTAAACTGACTGTTATGAAGCTTTCCAGTGGAAAAAGGAGTATCCCAGTAAAACTTAATTTAAAACAGTAATTGGTAGACATATTTTTGGCCAGGCGCTAGCCCGAAACCAGAGAGTGAGTGTTGAACAAAATCAAACGTATTATATTAATTTAGTCTAGAGGGAAAGGAATGCTCCCCTGTTCAGCAATTTCTCAAGGCCCTTGCCAATCCTAACATCCCCTGATGTTTTCATATTGCTTATGGTGCTTTTCTTTTGTGTAACCCAAAGTCATGCAAAAGGGTGAGTAGGTGACTGGAACTTAGTAGGATGCTGAAGAAGGTGGAAATAACAATGCCAACAGCAAAGGTAGTACAGTGCAAAAGGAATAACCAAAAAAAGGAGGATTTTTTTTTTTTAAAAAAGGGAAACCATTCCCACTGAAACAGTAACCAGTTTCTTCATCTGCCAGTCTCGTGGACCTCATTAGACCACACACCCCAACCCAGTATCAGTCTTAGAGCAATTCAGAAGCTTCTCACTGCTAGAAATCATCCTTAGCCATTCTGAGACTCAAAGTCACCTTCCATGATCTTTCTCTTCAGTGAGTTTCAGCAACATCATCAGGCCTTCCCCTAGTCAAGGAGACCCCTAAAAAAGTCTCCTAAGATGCTTCAATAGAAATCTGTTCACACGAAACTTTTAAGAAACACAGGAAACAAAGTTCAGTACAGGAAATAATTTTAGAGGTGCATAGGGCCAGAGATACCTTCCAGTAAATCTCAGTCAGAAGAGGTGGAATAGAAGCAAAATTTCCCTGATTTGGTTCTCCTCTTCCCACATATAACAACCACTTTTAAAAGCCAAAGATTAAAAAACAAAAAATACAGCAATTGTGAAAGTAGCAGGTCAGTAATTTAGGGATAAATTTCTTACAACATGTTAAAGCAAAACAAAAAACCTCATGCTATCCAGTAACATTTAATCAAATTAGGTGTTTTTAATTTTTTTCAACTATTGACACTTATATTGAACCTTAAAATGTTTTGTAGCAGCGTGAATAATATTAGTATTTCAAAAGTTGTTTTGCCAATTACCTCAAAATTAACCACAATTCTAATTTGTGAGCTGAAAACATCATTATTAAAGGGACTAGAACACTAAAGGGAAAACAAAGCTCAGAAAACATGTTTACCTCCTTGTAACCTGAAGTCTGAAATGCCATACCTATTCCTACCCACAAGAAACATTTCCCAGGTCTCCAGTTCTGAAAGTGCAATTTTAAATAGATATGTTCACTAGAGCTTTCTCACATCTGCTCTTGTGCTCTGTACAATTCACAAATGTTTTATCAGTGCAGCTATAAAATCAGGAAAGAATTTATGCCCCTCTTGCCCCCCACTAGCACTGTACAGTACAGCATATTTTCCTGTATTACATGCTGTGATCATCACTGCTGCACAGCAGTTCTGCTAGATCAGAATTGCATCCAGGAACTCATGTCCTTTCTCCAGTGTGTAATGAAAGCTCCAGGGAAGACAGTACATAATATTGATGTGCAGAGTCCAGCACAAAAAACCACTAGCTTTGGTAACCTTTTCTCCCTCTAGTGGCTTCTGCACATTCCCACTTGTAGGATATATTACCTTTCAGTATTAATGTAAAAGACAAAAAAACCCCCACCTTAATTAAAAAGCAATTGAAGGACTGCTCTGCCAAATGAAGCATTAGACTCAGCCACTAGGTTGTGAAAATATGAATGTAATCCCATATGGCCACTTCATACACTTTATTCCATGACTGGAATGTGTCTCAGCATGCTGTGTAAAATCAGTCCTTACCACTTAAAAAGGCCACAGGAAGCTGAGGACATATACTTTTCTAGAACACAGCAGCTAACCCATCTGAATAACGTTTTGGAATAGACAGTCTTACCTCTTCTCTTCACACAAAGCAAAAGGACAGTCTGAATTTCTGAATATCATTCTCCTATGAAAGCGAATTAGTGCTCTAATATGCAAAAACATAGATTTTCCCCTATTTCTGCAGTACCTAAAAAGGTACAGAGATACGTTCATCAATAATGACATCCCCTGACTATTTGCATTAAAGATTTAAGATGAGAACATAGTACTACTTCATCTTTATGAATTACTCTGAATAATGCTAAGTGCTTGCAGCTCACGCTTGCAAATGATTCCAAGCTTTTCTCATCAGTTTCAATAGCCTTCAATAATACTGACAAACAAAATTAAAATGCAAAAGATGTTCTGTAGCCTTAATGAGACTAAATGCTAAAGCCATGTAGGAACATTTTAAATATGTCTTTCAAACAAATTTGCTATTAATCGAAGAACAGAATGCCTATTTTATTAGTAAACAGACTTAAAAGGGAAGATTGAGATATTTAGTGCTGGAACATATATTCTGGTATATGCTGATCCGAACGATACACTAGGTGAAATACTATTAGTTTACCCACATACAGAACATCTTTCATCTTAAAGTGTAAAATTTTCTGTGAAATTTTCATTAGTACATTCTTGACTTCCATGAAATAAATGTTTCAAACATTTAAAAAATCAAAAATAGTTTTAAATCGCTGAAAAAAAAATCTAAGCCATATTACTATCATGGACACCACTGCAGACACAAACTTGTTGCAGAGATCCTGAAGGAATTTCAACAGCATCCCATGCAGCTGGTCCTGTTCCCAAGGAGCACTTGGGACCAACATCCATAATGCATCTGCACCAGGTGCTGCATATAAAGAGGCCGTTTCCTTGCTCCATCAGCAAAGAGATCATGAAGCATGTAGTCTTCAGGGTAGCAGACAGAATTGATTTTGTTAGGTGGTTTGGGTGGGCAACATTTACAAATTAAGCGTTTCTGTTTGGATAATTTGTTTTGGTTTTGAAAAGTGTGAATCACCTTGTATTTAAGATCACTTGAAACTTAATACATTATTGTGGATCTGGAAAACATTGCTGCCTGTAGCAGTCACTTCACCTTAAAAAAACACTAGTTGTGTACAGTAGTTACACTAATGTAAATATTACATTTTTTTTAATTATTATTATTTTCAGCACAAAAAGCATATAAAATAATGTATGTGAAAGTTATTGGCTTCACAGTGCAAGAAAAGCAATAAAAAATAATTTCTCTTTCCACAGTAAAACCAAAATGTTCTGAAGTTCGACATTCTAATCCCAAAAAAGTCTATGGCTGAAGATCACACCAATGCAAGTATTTTTGTTTGTAACAGTGTGAAAGAATCTCTACTGTCATCCACTTGAGCAGCAGTTGAATATTTTTAATCAGGTGAAAGAAACATTTTTTTCAAAAACAGATTTGGATAGCATGATGGACACTTGGAGCAATCATATAAGCAATACTTCCTCATGGAAGGACAGTGCTTCTCGAAGACTAATTTGGAGTATAAGGTTCTGTCTTTCCCTGGAGCCAGCAAATGTTTTAGATACAACTCTTTTAGTGTAAGACCAATGACCTTCACTTTATTAGAATCCCAGTTATCAACAACAGACTCCCATTAGATTAATTCCCTCAACAGCAAAACGTCTATGTGACAAAGGGAACAGTATGTAATTATGTTGGACACCTCTCCCACACTTTTTTTTTTTTTTTAAATCTTCTCTCTTTGGTTTATAGAAGCCTAGTAGTAGACAAAACAACTAGATGAAGCAGTAATTTGGAATAAAATTTGAATTACAGCTTACTGGCAGAATGTTAGATTTGTGACCTAATAGTGGGCACTATAATCACCACTAACAACTATCCTTTGATGTAGGTTTAACGCTACTTGTATTGAGAGGTTTACTGGACTGAATTTTAATAATAATTTTTTTTTATTCAGTTAAAGTTAAAAGTGTATAAGCACAAGTTTTTGACTAATGATTAGACAACATCTCTATAAAAATAGAGATCACTAAAATAATACCATTTGCAAGCCAGCCTTGTGTAAAAAAGGAACCAGACTGAAGATCCAGACTGTTTCCATTCTTTTGCTGGTGGAGGTCAGAAGGAACTAAAGTTGCTAGGATGTCATGTCTCCTTTTATTGCAATGCCACTGCAACATTTGGAAACAATGAAGAGACAAGAAGAAATGTGAGAAAGCTCTAACAGACAACACTTCCAGCAGAAGTACAATTCCAGAGCTGCACTCAATTAAACAGGAATACGCAAAGCCTCTGCAAAGGACAAAGAACCATATTATTTTCTTCATCAGAAATTCTGTAAGTGATGTATAGTACATGTTTAAATTTTAGTATGCAAATATCATGGTGTAATACCATAGGCTGTTGGTTTGGGGTTTTTTTTTTTGTTTTTTAGGAACCAGTATCAACATATTCTTACCTTTTTATCTTCTTTAGACTTCCTAATACTGTGCGGAGGGCCAAATTTGTTCTGCATGCAAAACATCTTCTTAGACCATTCATTTTTATGAGATTTTAACTGCGGTTGACCAAAGCTGCCATCGACTCTGTATCTGTCAGCTGGAATCTTATTCATTGGTGGGGGAAGAGTTCCACAGTTAACACTTGACCAGCCATCTGTAGAATCAGTGTAAGACTCCTGGTCGCTAGCATTTCCATGCTGCCATTCTTGTAAAACATGCACAGGCAACCACCTTTGATTGCCTATGCCTGCAGCATTTTTCTTTGATGGGGGTACTGAATTTCGGGAGGAAACCAGTGGAACTTCAATACGAGCAGAAGGACTTAAGTGTTTGCTAACATTTTGGGACTTATCATTCTGAATTACTTCTAAAGGAATGTTTCCTTCTTGTTCATGACAGAAGCCATTCCAATGGGAAGCAGGCTGATTTTGTCCCCTTCCTACTGGATTTTCCCATATGCTGTTAGGAATGTGTTTACTCGGATTGCTCCCTAAATCAACCACCAGAACTCTATTACTCTTTTCTTCTTGGTTAAAATTTCCAATTCCACTATCACTGTTACTGCTTGTACTATTATTCTGATGAGCATCTGCATCACCATCAAGAAAAGCCCTTGCACGCATTCCCTCAATCAATTCCCCCATATCCCTATACAGGACAGAAATAAACTGAAGAACAGGTAGAGATGATGTTGGAAACTCCAGACAGCCATTTGTGTCTGGATCTGCTGTACATTCCAGTCCAAAACGTCTTGCTATGCCCTGGTGAATTTTATGATGAAATAATTCAGGATCCACCATAAAAACATGGCAAGATGTCCTCAGAACCCCTTCATCTTCCTGAGCCAAGCTTGCATCATCGTTTGTCTGCATCGTAACTAGTCCAAAGAATCTTCTATCATCTGGGCAAACAGCACTGAATGCCAGTTTTTCTGCAGGATATTCTGCCACTACACCTGATTTGTCACTGCAGAGCTGAATACAGTCATGCATTATCTTCATCATCACTAGTGAATGGATTTTTTGTTCTGCCCGCAGACGTCTCATGCATCCACGAATAGCCTGCAAACTCTCATTTTCCAAATTTGAGGTTGTCGAAGGAAGTTCAATTGAGCCTAGGTAACCCACAATCATGGCAACGTTTAAAATGCTTGCATCTAATGCAAAGTCTTCTGCACTCTCCAGCCCAATTCTAAAAACTGAATCATCATTCAGGACTTTGGATATTTCTTCCTTTGACAGTAGGTTTGGATTGCTTGCACTTTCATTTCCAGTTTCAAATTTAACAGCAGCAGAATCTGAAAATGATCTTTGTTTTGGTACAGAATTATCTGAGCTACCAGCACAAAGTGTAGGATTCTCAAAGATCATGTTGAAAATGCCACCAGACTGCATTTCTTCAACAACTTTCTCTGCTCTGTTTATACCCAGAGCTTTAGAGTCAGGTTTGGGTTTCAGCCACCCCTTTCCATCATAAAAACCAACTTCTTCATCACTTGAACATGAATCTATATGACTAATCCCTTCAGCAATGACCATGTGCAGGACTCCAGAACATTTTCCTATAAGCTTCACTACATCTTCATGAGAGGCTTTTTTCACATTGATTTCATTAACTGCAAATATCTGATCTCCTGCTTTAAGTCCAACATAATCTGCAGGACTTCCTTTCATAACACAACTAAGAACACAAGGAGCTTGTCCAGAAAGGGTAAACCCATAACCTGCTCTTCCTCTAGCAACTTCCACACTTCTTATCCGAGGAGGAGCATGCATGTTGAGTCGACGTTTGACCGTTTCCCCTGGTCTATACATTTTTGAGGTTTTTCCCTATAATAGGAAAACTTTTAATTAGTCCAGTTTTTTGTCATGTTTCACAGTATCACTCCTTCATCTGATGAAGCTCTAAAGAAAGAAAGAAAAAAAAAAAGACATTTTAATTCTCAATCATATTTCAGTGTTTTAGTACCCAGTATTCCCTTAACTGTTCAGAAATATTGCTAGTGAACTCTACCAAAAACTATTGCTAGATAATTAGCACAACACTCAAAACAATATGAGAAGAACAGGTACCACAGTCTTAATTTTACCCATGAGAAAGCAGTAGCGGTAGAGGCTGTCCAAAATGGCAAAGTAACTGTATGGCAAAGCTAAGAACAGAATCTAAGTCTTCTGATATACAACCAGTGGTTTTATACTACAGCATGTTACATCTTCCCCAACTCCACCGTGTTACCTACTACTCAGTTAACTTCTGGCTTACCGCACCATTGCAATACCACCACATTTCACAGCACAGTGACAATCCTGGATGAAGCTCATCTATCCTTTCCCAGCAACATAAAAATTAGAGCTTAAGTGTACCTACTCAGCTCTAGCCCACCCCCCTTCATACTCAATGTACAGAAACAGGGACCAAATGTATCCATGTAAAACAGGTTAGATAAATTACCCCTAGAGTTGCCTGTATCTCTCCACTGACTGACCGTAAAGGCAGCTCAAAGTAAGTGTAACTTCAACTTTCACACATACATTTCAGTTACATATGCAACAACAAATGGACATTCAGTCATGTATTAGACCAAAGGGATTCAAAATCAGATTTACTGTTACACCGATCAATTCCTCTACTCAAAAATAACTTGTTGGAAAGCAAACACTATAAAAAAATGCATTTCAGTCATTCCAAGATCCATGTGTTTTAGTTTAGATAAAAACTTCCAAAAAAAGAGGAAAAAAGAAGGAACTCCACATGCTGCCAGTATTAATCTAGTCATGACTTTACAATTAAACAGCTTTATACGAACAGCAAGAAATACTAGATTTCAGTACATTTTGGTGTTGACTCTGAAGTCTGGATATCTCGTTCTAATTATACTCAGGTAAATTCCATTGTTTTAGAGAGGTTTCCTCCACTAAGCAGGTTCAAATACATAAAAATATTTTAACACAAAGAATAGAAATGACAATGTGTTCAACTTTTGAAACTATCCCCGTGTTGCATGATATGAACTCTTACTTCCACAGGTCTGGAGGATGACTGACTGAAATAACTGGAGCACTACAGATACATAAAACTGCAATAAACTTGGTTGAGCAAGTGAGAACTAATCTGAAAATAATTACTTTTCTGAGCTGGTTCACAGGCTTATTCATAACTCAGTCACACTGTAGCATACTTTAAAGTATGTAAGGTACTTGAAAGCAAGGATCTTGTATATGTGGGCAAAATGCTGGCAACATTTTAGATAAATAGATACACATTAAAAAAAAAAATACACACACACACACACACAGAGACACAAACATTTGTTTATTGTATGTAAACTGTTAAATTAGTGGACTCCAACTACTTGCATGGAAGAAAAATGACCAAAAAATCCTGACATCTCTCTCAGCTAGAGAAATAACAAAAAACCCCACACTCAAAATGTGATGCAATCCACAGCACATTACTTTCACAGTATTTCTGCCTGGGATAGAACGAACAGAAGGGCTGTGACTTCAAAAGTTCCACCAAAAAAACTCTCAAACCCTAAAATACAATGTAGGATAAAAGTCTTAACTACTTAACTATGTATGAGCTTTTGATTACCAAATTTTAAAAAACACTGTTGTTTCTTTAATATTCTGCTAAATACTCAACTACAGGATGGGATTCCCTTAGGACCTTTCCAAACCCTAAACAGAACAGCCTTCAAGATACTACAGAAGACATTCACTTGGCTTTACTTTTGGGTTTTAGTTTCCATTTTTTTCAACAAAGGGACATCAGGATTTTATGTCTCCATGGTGCAGCTGTGACTGTCCAATGTAGTATGGTTTTTGCAAATTGTTTTAATATAGCAATTATCTAGCTTCAATAACAACAGTTCCCCTATAATTTGCGAAAATAACTTAAGCTTTAAAAAGTAATGAAACTTCACACTTAACCTTTGAACGGAAATCATAACGTAAGAAATGCTTTGCAAACATTTAACCAAACTCACATGTTGCTGTAAAAGACCCCTGTCAACTTGCATCCAGTCTCGTGCCTTAAACACAGACTGACCTCCTCCTGATGAGGCTCAACTTGTGAACCAAGAGATCACTGTGCATTCAGCTATCTCTAATTAGGTCTGCTACTTTCTGAGAATAATCATTAAACATTTCAAGATACAGTTCTTCAACCAAAAAAACCCAACTAACAAATGCCCAACAGTAAATAAAAACCTGCTATCTACGAGCATGAATATATACACGTTTTAATTTGCCTTACAGTGAATATTTCTGTTCTCAGTTGTCTGGAGAATAGCCTAATGTGTCCCTTGGGTACCCTCCAAAACTGTGCTGCTAACCTGGTCAACATAAAGCACTGTAGTGTCTGGCACCTAAAAGTGTGCTACTAGCTTGCAAGAGGAAAAGAAACAATTAAAAGAGTATTAAATTATAAATAATCTGATAAAAAAGTACAATAAAAAGCAGTAGTTACAAAAAAAATAAGATTCAATATTGTAATGTTGAAGTGGTTGATAAGAAAAAACAGATTTTTTCCAACTATCTTTCTAATCTATAAAAAAAATACCTAAACGCAACTATGAAAAACACACACTGAAAGCGTAGTTAGGCTGCTCTTGGGAAGAGGCAAACCCCAGCACTGTCTTACCTCACAATTCCACATTTGCTATGAAAGGATTCCTTTTAAATCTATTCACAAGTCAATTTATCTATTTGTCTTCCTAACCTATGCCCCTTACACATCAAGCATTTATTCCAGATGGTAACCACTGATAAGGGAACATAATTCCAAAACCTGGCCATTATAAACAAGAAAGCAGGCTGCTAATACATTGATTTTCTCTAATGATGAGGTTCCAGAGGTGTGAAGACTTCCAGCTATTAATTTATTTGTGTAATTTTGTGAGTGCAAAGTTCGGAAGTAATTCAACATTAAAGGGGTTTTTGCTATTAATGTATATATATACTAAAAAAAAAAAAAAAACCCAAAGAAAAACCTGTGTTACATCACTGGAAAAGCCATCTCTTCCCTCCCTCAGTAGCTGAATATTATTGTGCATTTTTTGTGCCAGTTACACCCATGACAAATAACAGCTCGCTAAATTTATTGAGGAGACTTCAAGACAAAGGACAAATGTAGTTCTTCTGCAAGAACCCTCAGCATTCAAATATGTTTTACTGCAACAATGGCATGACAGGCAAACGGAAAAATTACGAAAATAGTGTTTCAAGTAACCAGAGAGATTCCAACAGAGATTACTTGAGTTACAAACTAGTGCAAAACTAAATTATCAAATTGCCTAAGTTTTCTTTTAATTTCTTTGCAGATTTGAAACCTGGAGCTAAAGAGATATGGCACAAAAATGGCACAAACTTCCACAGTTTCAAAGTAATCATACGTCTGAATAGCCTTTTCCTGTAATAGATCACAAAATGTGTAGTGTATCCAGTGAAACAAAGACATCATTTTAGTTGCACTGATATAAAGCTTTGCAGGTGTCTGCATGTTTACCAAAACATGAAATTATTAGTGAACTATATCACCTGTGATAATGGTCACGAGTAACCAAAGACAAAATGATTTCAGCTGTTGATTTTCAGTACAAATACAATACTGACTCTTACTGAGCCTACCAATAATACACTACTTTAATTACTTCTGTAATTACTACTGTAATTATAGCACTGAATTTTATTACTTTGATAGCATAACTACATTCAGTTATATACAGTAGGTCAGAAAAACGGTTACACCACAATACTACACATGGCCAAGCTTATTTTGACCTTCTGCTATCGCTAAGTATGATAGTAAGTCTTAAGGAAAAAGGTCTGTACAGTACCAAAACACATTAGCAAGTATTAGTCAGGAGGATATGTGCATTTTATAGGCGAAAACAAGCCAATAAAACCAGAATAATTTGTAATACATAGTAACGAAATCTAAAGCAAATAATACGTTTTTGTGACATTTCAATATACTTATTAAAAACACTGAAAATAAAGAATTCCTACTATCATTTGACAAACACTGCAAATATAAAATTACTGCCATGATTCCAGAAAGTTCACCAAAATTTGTACCAACACAGTTTAGTAATATGACACAGAACAAATACAGTTTAATAACTACAAAAGACTTCGCAGGATGTTTCAGACAGAAACACAAGCATATACAAATTAAGTAAGTTCAAGTATGTGAAATCACATGATTTGCCCATATACATCAGCTTTGTCACAGAACTGCAAAACAAAAATAAACATTTGGCTTTGCTGCCAGCACACGTTCTGGTCTACCATTTCAATCAATTGTTTTGCGGGTATAAAACGTCAAAAACACCAGTTACGGTTGAATTGTACTTTATCCGACAAATGCCGCATTTCTTTAGGTAATGTTTTTACATATCCGCGCTAGCTTTGCATGTCATTTTCAAACCCTCTACTACAGGGAAAATAATACTTATTTGCTTACTTTCAAGGGAGAGAGGTGGTTTGTTTCCTGCTTCTGCTCTTGTTAACTCAGCAACAAAAAGAGCAAACAGAAACAGCAGGCATACTCCTGTTAGTATGTTAGACTGTAACCTCAACAGTTACAGAGGGCAGTGAGGGAGCGCGTAAAGTTTGAGACTACATTACTGACCACCAGTTAGTTTTGAAAAGCCTTTGGAAATGAGCTGATACTCAGCTCTACAGTATCCATGTTCATGTGGTTTGGGTTTTGGTTTTTTTTTTTTTTTGAAAAAGCAGAGAACTGCTTGGCTTCGTTTTGTTTTCCAATAGTGAGGCTGTAAGAGGATAAAGCATGCAAAGTGGAAGCA